GCAGATATGTCTCAGAGCCTCTCTCATCTTCTCCCGAACCTGTACCCCATTTCTCTCTTTCCCCGGCCCAAGTCTCGGGAGGCCGTCTGTGAGCGGAAAGAGATCCTGCTCAGCTTGGCCCCCATGGCCTCTTCAGAACCCCTTCACCCCGAGGCCTTTCTCAGGGCTGGGTCCACAGTCAAGCACGCCTGGATGTAAAGTTCAACTCCCAGCTGTATGACCCTTGGCAAATTTATTTCCCTTTCTAAACTTCAGTTTCCTCATCTGTAAAATGGAGATAATCATAATGCCAGCCTCAGGACTATGGAACAAGATTTGATAGGTAATGTGTGCAAAGAGCTTAGCACAGGGTCTGGCACAATAAGCAGCTGATGAGTAGCAGCTATGGTTGTCACTGTTGTCATGGTGATTTTTAGCCCTTTTGTTACAGCTTCCTAACCCGCCGAAGGTTTACTCCTGCTTCCTCCCTGGTGCTTCATGTTTCTCCTCACAACAGCCAGCACGATAACTAGATTAGAGCTGGTCTCCTCTGCCTACTCATGGAGCTTTTTGCTCTAGAGAAAACACCCAAGCTCTCACCACAGGGCCCTAGGGAACCTGCCCTGTCTCCTCCCCTCCCACCTCGCTCCCGCTGCTGCAGCCACACTGGCCTCCTAGCTATCCTTTGAACAGCAAAACCCACTTCTGGGACAGAGCAGGCATGGCTGCACCCCAGGGACTTTCCACTTGCTGTTTTCTCCCCTGGACCGTGCTTTCCACAGACAGCTCACTCTCACACTCCCTTCATGTCCTCTCCTTGACAGCTGCACATTCCTCATTCAGGAGCTTTGCTTTCCTCCGGAGTCCTTGCCACCATCTGACTTGCTCTGTGTTTCTGCTTTTTATTCTGCTTCGTGACCACTTCCCACACCTTCCCGAGAGCAGGGATTGTGGTTGAGCACACAGTTGGTGCCCAAGAAATATTGGTTAAATGAATAAACAAGAACTGCAAGGTCACTGTAAAACAAACAAACAAACAACAACAACAAAAACAGAAGATGCAGACATGCATCTTTTAAAAGTATCCCAACACATTCCGAACACCAGCCATTCTGAGTCTCTCCTTTTCTCTAGGGCCTTTTTGTACATGTAGTTCCCTCTGCCTAAGACATTCGCTTCGTTGTCATTGATGACTGTTCCTCACTGTGTCCCTGAGGTCCAAAAGTACGCCTCGCTTTTGAGGAAGGAGACAATTTGGGAGTGGGCCAGGGCCATAGCGCAGATGGGTCACGTGGGGACCAACCCCACCGTGCCTGGTTTCCAGACAAGGAAACAGACCCCCAGAGCCAAATCCCATCCCTCAAGTGACACAGCGGTGGTGGCACCTGGGTCGGAATCAGAGAATGTGTCTTTGTGGGGAGCGGGGATTTAGGTTGTCAGTGCTTAGGACTTGTTGAACATAGAAGAAAGTCAGACTACTGCCCTGTCTGCCCTCATCTCCCCATCCGGCCCTCCGTGGGAAAGCTACTGATGTTTGTAAATGTTTAACTGGACACTCTCCTTAGTTTAATAACTTTTCAGGTGGCAAAGGTCACCATCATCTGCAAATTCACCTACTCCCCTTAACTACTGACTTAGCCCTCTTTATTAGGTATATCATTTATTGCTTTTGCTATATCTTCGTTTATTTTGCACCTTCGTCTGCTGTCTTGACCTGGAAGGGTGAGTCAGGCCTGTACCGCCGGACTGTGCTTCTGTTCATTTCTGCTGGAATGTCTGAGGCTATTTCGGGAAATATTCAGAATACAGATAGTCACTACAGTTTTGACTCCAGTCTCGATATATGAAATGACTCTTGGTCTCAATGTATACTTTTGGTACCAAATTCTCTATGGAGGGCTCTTTGTTCCTCTATTCCTCCCTCTTTCTCTCTTCTCCCTTTTTTTTTTTTTTTTTCATTTCTCTGCAAGACATTTGCCCCCAAGTGTCTAAACAACTACTTTTGTTAAATTTTGATTTTTTATCAAATCCTGGTTGGGACAGGACCTAAGTTTCAGAGTCAGAAAGTAGGTGGTAAAGGAGATAAATGTATTCATTAGTTTTTGGTTACTATAATCTGTCAATATATATCCTGGAACATGTATCTCTGTGCACTTAGTACAGAGTAGTTTTTGTTTGTTTGTTTTTGTTTTTTGAGACAAGAGTCTTGCTTTGTCGCCCAGGGTAGAGTGCACTGGTGTGCTCTTTGCTCACTGCAACCTCCACATCCCGAGTTCAACCAGTTCTCCTGCTCCAGCCTCCTGAGTAGCTGGGATTACAGGCGCCCACTGCCATACTCGGCTAATTTTTTGTATTTTTGATAGAGACAGGGTTTTACCATGTTGACCAGTTGGAAGCTGGTCTTGAACTCCTGACCTCAAGTTATCCACCAGCATCGACCTATCAAAGTGCTGGAATTATAGGCGTGAGCCACTGCACCCAGCCTCTGAGTGTTTTTGTTGTATATAAAATAAGAGTGACTTAAACAACATAGAAGTTTGTTTACAATTTAACAATAACATTAAACAAACAAACAAAACAGTTCAACACAGGCAAAACAGGACTGGTATGGGTACTCTCCGCCACAAAATCCCAAAGGAGCCTAGTATGCATCTAACCTCCACTGCATGCCTCATAGCACAAAATCGTTGCTGGAGTTCTGGCCATCACATCTGATTCCAGACAGCCAAATGGAGGAAGAGCAGAAGGGCCACTCCCTTATTGTTAACTCTTTCCCCATCTGCCAGAAGGTATACCCACTTGTGACTGCAGCATTTACCCCAAGATAGCTGTGCCACAAAATACCTCGCTTTTATTATTATTTTTGCCTCGCTCTAGTATATTGACTTTGGAAACAAAAGACATCACTCCATTTATAGCATTCTGGTTTTAGTGGTTGTATTTCCATTTACAAAACATAGTCATTCTCAATTGCTGAAAATCTCAAATCCTAGCATTCCTACATGTGATGTTAACATTGCTCTCAAACAGTTGCTGGCCAAAGATTTATTTGATGAATCCAGTTTTTCTGAAATAGATGAGTCTGATGTTATTTCTGGTTAGAAATAACTCCAAAAACAGTTTTTACATTTTATTTTGACATTGAAAATCAGTCAGATTTAAGGTTGGGCGCGGTGGCTCAAGCCTGCAATCCCAGCACTCTGGGAGGCCAAGGCGTGGGGATCACTTGAGCCCAGGAGTTCGAGACCAGCCTGAGCAACATGGAGAAACCTCGTCTCTACTAAGAAACACAAAAAATTGGCTGGACATGGTGGTGCACGCCTGTAATCCCAGCTACTAAGGAGACTGAGGCAGAGGTTGCTGTGAGCCGAGATCAAGCCACTGTAGTCCAGCCTGGGCTACACAGTGAGACTCTGGAGACTCTGTCTCAAAAAAACAAACAAACAAAAAACACCAGTCATAATCAGTCAGATTTGCTTCAACCTCAAATAGTATATTTACATAAAATTACATGAGCGCTGGCAACGAGCTGCACTTTTTTTTTCTAAACAGGAAATGGGCTAAGGAGACTACTCAGAGTCGCATATGAATTCATTGGCTTGATGACAGGGCCGTATGCAGCTACAAGGAAGTCTGGGAAATGTAGTCCTTTAGTTGGATGGCCATTTGCCTAACAAAAACTGGGTTTCTTTTTTTATTTTTTATTTTTTAAGATGGAGTCTCGCTCTGTTGCCCAGGCTGGAGTGTAGTGGCATGATCTCGGTTCACTGCAACCTCCACCTCCCAGGTTGGAGCAATTCTCCTGCCTCAGCCTCCCGAGTAGCTGGGACTACAGGTGTGCGCCACCACGCTTGGCTAATTTTTGTATTTTTAGTAGAGACGGGGTTTTCTCATATTGGCCAGGCTGGTCTCAAACTCCTGACCTCAAGGGATCCGCCTGCCTCAGCCTCCCAAAGTGCCGGGATTACAGACGTGAGCCACCTTACCTGGCCGTTAACTACATGTTTTTGAATGCAACTGATATGTTTGCTGAAACAGTAATCTTATAATGATGGTTCACTGAGCCCTTACTATTTGCCAGGCACGGTTTTAGCACTTTGCATGTTCCTAGCAACAATTCTGATGTTGGTACTGACAGCCTAACTGTTTTGCAAGAGAAGACAGGATCCTCTGAAGCACAGGAGATTAAGTCACTTGGCTCAGCTTGTAAGGGTTGAAGCTGGGATTTGAACCCAGACAACTGGTTCCAGATGCTACTGCAGGAGACAGCGTCAAGATGGCCCGAGTCTAGGATGGAGAAAGAGGCCAAAGTGGGTGGCCACTTCTTCCAAAATATTCCTCAGAAGCCAGAAATGCTGAAGGTTGCTTGCCATCCCCTCCATTGCTGATTACAGTAACAAACTGTTAAACACACTGGGCAAACCAAAGTAATGTATCTGCTGTCTGGCTTTGGCCAGTGAGTTAATAATTTACAAATCCTAAGCTAAGTCATTGAGAAAGACCCTTCCACCTTCAAAACGTCGGATTCCCAAGCAGCCCCTGCCCTCAAAAAGCTTCAGTCTCAAGGTATGTGCCTGCATGCACCCACACAAGAACGACCTGAAATGCAGGGGTCATGGGGCCCTGGTGAGGACACCTGAGAAGGCGAGGCAGCCAGAGGTCTCCTGGAGGACGGGATCTTGTAGAAAGCTTGGATGTGGACAGCAGAGGGGGCTGGTGCTCCAGGCTGGGAGGACAGCAAAGGCAAAGGTGTGCCACTGCTGCCTGGGAGTTTCCCCTCCCTCCTTGGGTCCTCTTGGCACGCCTAGAGCAGGCCTCGCCTGTGCTGTAAGTCAAGTCAGCTTCCTAAGGGAGAGGACGGAGTCCTCTCAGAAGGGAGGGGGCAGAGCTGGACTCTTAGGAGACCTGACTGCGTTACACCCCAGGAGTGGCTCCTCCCAGAGAGGAAAAGGAGGTGGCCAGAAAGGCAACTGAGCATTGGGTTCGCTCAGCGAAGGTATGAGGAAGGACGTCCCAGCCCTGTGAGTGAATTCCGTGTGTGGGAACCATTGGGAGGAGCCACCAGGATTCAGGAGTTTCCTGGGTGAGGCGTGGCCACAACTGACACTCCTGCTTTGTACTAGAAGGAAGGAGTATGGAGTTAAAGACTGTGGCGTGAACTGAGGAACCCTGGACAGGCCACTTGCTGCAGGGGACCCAGTCCAGATCCCAGGAAAGCCCCGCTGCCCCTTCGGACCCCGTCTCCCATCTACAAAACGTGGAGATTGGCCCAGTTGACGTGTCTCTACAAAAAGGTGCATATACCACTGGTGAGTTCAGTTGATACTGAGTGGGGGAATCTTTTCCCTTTTTAAATTTTCATAGTCATGTGTTAATTCTCATGTGAATTAGACAAAAATAACGATGTCACCAAACCTGCCATTTCACGATAATGATCAGTAACCCTTAGTGGTGCTTACTGTATGCTGGGACTGTTGGAAACGACATAAATCCACCAGCATCCTTACATCTCATTACAAGCCACGGAGTTCATACCATCACTATCCCCTACTTGCAGATGAGGAGATGAGGCAGAGAGAGGCAAAGTCACTTGCCCAGGGTTACCCAGATTGTAAGCAGCAGAGCCAGGGTCAAACTCAAACAGCTGGCTCCAGAGCCTCACTCCTGGCATCTCCCATATTACTGCTCAGACTAAGGGTAGATAGAAGAAAGTTGTTAGTAACAGCACAGGTGGGCTGCCACTGGTAGCTGGCAAGGGGGTAAACAGATGGCAAAATGGTTCTGGAGGGCTAGAGGAAGTGGTCTCCAAAGGCCACCTAGAGAGTTCTATGATTTCAGGAGGAAAGAAAGCCAGATTGAAATCTCATTTCAGGTAACCATATATTTGCATCAGGTAATATGTTTACATGGTTCACAAATCAGAACTCTATTAAAAGATATACTGAGGTGGGGCCGGGTGCAGTGGCTCACACCTATAATCCCAGCACTTTGGGAGGCTGTGGGTGGATCACAAGGTCAGGAGATCGAGACCATCCTGGTTAACACAGAGAAACCCTGTCTCTACTGAAAATACAAAAAATTAGCCGGGCGTGGTGGCGGGCGCCTGTAGTCCCACCTACTTGGGAGGCTGAGGCAGGAGAATCACTTGAACCCAGGAGGTAGAGGTTGCAGTGAGCTGAGATTGCGCCACTGCACTCCAGCCTGGTGACAGAGTGAGAATCTGTCTCAAAAAAAAAAAAAAGATATACAGGGGCATCATCAACATCCCTGCAGTCCCTGTGTGTCCTTCAAGGGTTGCTTTGTGCAAGTACAAGCAAAGAAAACATATTTTTCCTCCTCTTGTATGACCAAAAGGCAGTACACCTTTTCCTGGTCCCATTTACCTGCCTTGATTTTGTTTCAAGATTATCAGTATAGCCTGGAGACCTTTCCTTATCATCCAGCAAGATCTGCTTTCCTTATTCCTTATTCCTTCAAACAAGTATGTGGTATTCCAACAGGTCCCTTTAATTAGCCATTTTTCTGTTGGTAGCCACCCAGGAGAAAATTTCCTACAACTTGCTATTACCAACAAGATCACAATCTATAATAACCTTGTACATGAGTCATTTTGTCAGGCTTTGGGACAATCTCATGGTGAGAAATGGCACATGGAGTAGTTTTCCTATTGTGAATGAAGGTGATAATATTTTCATTTCTTTAAAGCTTATTTGTACCTTTTTCTCTGAATTGTTCATATCCTTGGCCCTCTTCTATATTGGGTCTCTTTGTTCTTGATTTTTAAAAACTCTTTATATATTAGGAAGATGAGCCCTCTGTCTGTGATTTATGTTGCAAATATTTTCCTTATGTTTTCATTTAACTTTTGACCTTGCTGTTGGTACGTTTTGCAGAAGCTGCTTTGTTTTCTTTTGTGTGTTGTATTGAACTTTTCTTTCACGAGTCATAGTTAGGAAAGCCTTCCCTTGTTTTCTGCTAATAAAAAGCCAGCTTGGGCTAGGCGTGGTGGCTCACACCTGTAATCCGAGCACTTTGGGAGGCCGAGGCAGGCAGATCACCTGAGGCCAGGAGTTCGAGACCAGCCTGGCCAACATGGTGAAACCCTGTTTCCACTAAAAATACAAAATTAGCTGGCGTGGTGGTGTGTGCCTGTAATCCCAGCTATTTGGGAAACTGAGGCAGGAGAATCACTTGAGCCTAGGAGGCAGAGTTTGCACTGAGCCGAGATCATCCTATTGCACTCCAGCCTGGGCTAAAAGAGCGAAACTCCGTCTCAAAGAAAAAAAAAAAAAAGCCAGCTTGTTCACAAGAAGGGGAGTAATAAGAGAAAACCCTGGGCCCCAGGTCCCAGCATCTTGCTAGGTGGTGAAGCTGAAATTACTCACCTGGTGTTCTTCTCTGCCAGCCCCACCGCAGGCTGATCTGGGGAAGCCTCTGGCCCAGGGCAGATACCGCCATGGCCTTCCTGATGCACCTGCTGGTCTGCGTCTTCGGAATGGGCTCCTGGGTGACCATCAATGGGCTCTGGGTAGAGCTGCCCTTGCTGGTGATGGAGCTGCCTGAGAGCTGGTACCTGCCCTCCTACCTCACGGTGGTCATCCAGCTGGCCAACATCGGGCCCCTCCTGGTCACCCTGCTCCATCGCTTCCGGCCCAGCTGCCTTTCTGAAGTGCCCATCATCTTCACCCTGCTGGGCGTGGGAACCGTCACCTGCATCATCTTTGCCTTCCTCTGGAATAAGACCTCCTGGGTGCTGGACGGCCAACACAGCATTGCCTTCTTGGTCCTCACCTTCTTCCTGGCCCTGGTAGACTGCACCTCTTCGGTGACCTTCCTGCCCTTCATGAGCCGGCTGCCCACCTACTACCTCACCACCTTCTTTGTGGGTGAAGGACTCAGCGGCCTCTTGCCTGCCCTGGTGGCTCTTGCCCAGGGCTCGGGTCTCACTACCTGCGTCAATGTCACTGAGCTATCAGACAGCATACCAAGCCCAGTACCCACGCGGGAAACTGACATCACACAGGTACCCAGCATCACCCAGAGCCATCTCAGCACTTGGCTTGGTCACAAATGTAGGGGAGGGAAAAATCTGCTCCCCTCCATCTTTCTAGGTTCTTTGGTCGGTCTATGAATTAAACTGACATAAGGCAGATCAACAGCAGGAAATCCATTTTAATTACTTACATACATACACATGGGAGTCCCCCCCAAATATGAGACTTAAAACAGGGCCAGATGATTTCAGCTTATATAGCATCCTGAGCTACAAAAGGGAATAGGGACTTGGGGCTTCTGCAGGATGGTGGAGAAAATTTATGGGAGGATGAAGGGAGGAAACTTACGGTGAAAAAACATTACACTGTTATGCAGATAAAAGTTCCTCAGGTGATAAAGGCCGCCACCTTTCTCTTCCTGGTTCAGATACCTCTTCTTGGTACAGATAAGATACCTTTACTAATAAAAATTTCCTTTAGCTGTAAATTTATCTTACAAAATGGTAACTTTTCAGAGCTACTCCTTAGTCTGCAATTTTTCAAAATAACCATCTAGAAGTAAACAATATGCCAATAGGTCAATTTTGGGGTGGCATATTCTGGCCTCCTGCAGTCATATTTTGGGATGGCATGTCCTGAGGGCCTCTGTTTCCCAGATGGTGGCTGGAGCAGTGTTCTTCTTTAGGTGGAGGCTCTCCCTTAAGTGGTGGCTCTCTGCTTAGGTGGGGGATTCTCCCTTTAGGTGAGGGCTCTCCCCTTAGGTGGGGGGCTCTCCCCTTAGGTGGGGTCTCTCCCCTTAGGTGGGCGGCTCCCCTGCTCAGTCAGTCTCCAGCTAGCCCCTCCTCTGAACACGTTTGTGCTTGCCACTGCTGTGGGATAGCAGAGTGGTAAAAGGTGTAGCTTCCAAGTCAGAAAGCACCAGGTGGAGTCTGGCTTTGCCACATTCTCCCTGTGACCTTCAGGTAAGGGACGAAGCATTCCGATACCTCAGTTCCCTCTAAAATGGGGGATACTGGTCCCCACTGCATAGGCCTGTTAGGAGGCACAGGGGCTTATCCATGCCCGGTGCCCCTGCTCAGTGGGCAGTCAGTATGAGCAGTCATTATTGCCACCTTATTAGTTATGTTTATTTACTAATTATCTATTAATAATAACAGGTGATCTGTATCCTATATTATCACTGTCATGATTGTTGTTCTGCAGTCTGATCCCCTCCCCCGACCAGGGATCTGACTGACCTGTCTTGTCCTTTGCAGGGAGTTCCCAGAGCTTTGGTGTCCGCCCTCCCCGAAATGGAAGCGCCCCTGTCCCACCTGGAGAGCCGCTACCTCCCCGCCCACTTCTCACCCCTGGTCTTCTTCCTCCTGCTATCCATCATGATGGCCTGCTGCCTCGTGGCGTTCTTTGTCCTCCAGCGTCAACCCAAGTGCTGGGAGGCTTCCGTGGAAGACCTCCTCAATGACCAGGTCACCCTCCACTCCATCCGGCCGCGAGAAGAGAATGACTTGGGCCCTGCAGGCACAGTGGACAGCAGCCAGGGCCAGGGGCATCTAGAGGAGAAAGCAGCTCCCTGCTGCCCGGCCCACCTGGCCTTCATCTATACCCTGGTGGCCTTCGTCAATGCGCTCACCAACGGCGTGCTGCCCTCTGTGCAGACCTACTCCTGCCTGTCCTACGGGCCAGTTGCCTACCACCTGGCCGCCACCCTCAGCATTGTGGCCAACCCTCTTGCCTCGTTGCTCTCCATGTTCCTGCCTAACAGGTGTGCTCTCATCTGGTCCTAGGGAATCCTAGTGGGGGAACACTTCATTTCAGAACCCAGAATTCCAAACGCACCCACCGGGCTGTACATGTAGTGGTTAAGAACGTGGTTTTCGGAGCACCCCGGTCCAAATCCCAGCTCTGCCACTTGTCAGCTGTGTGTGATAAGACAAGTCACTTCAGTTCTCTGTGCCTCAGGGATATTTATCGGAAAATGGGAGTAGTAACAGTTCCACCTCCTAGGACTGCTGGAAGCATTATATGAGCTGATTCTATAAAGCTCTTGGAGCAGTGCCTGGCACGTGGCAGGTCCAGCCTAAGTGCTGACCATCATTGTCATAAGCCCATGAGGAGGAGCAGACAGCCACTGGAGTTCCCATTTATATGGGGAAACCCTAAGGCTTGGAGAAAGAGCTTGACCTGGTCTAATTCCCAGGATTTCAGCCCTGCCCTCCTGCCTCTGATCTCCAGCTGATTCCATTAGAGCCACAGTTCTAGAAGAATGGCTGGGCAAATCGATAAAATGCAGATTGAACCAGCCTAGACTGGGACCTGGGATTTCAATTTTTAGTAAGGAATCCAAACAGTTCTGAGGCAGGGGCTTCAGACCCCTGTATGAGAAATACTACCTCGGGATCTTGACATTTGAGGTAGGTCCTACAGCCTCGCATCCACGCTGGCCTGCCTGCCCTTACTGGCCTGCTTATACCCACTCTCCCAGCCCAGAAGGCGGACAGTGAGGACAGAAGATCTTGACAAAAAGCTTGCCAGAAAGCTAATTTTCTACCTTGGGACCTAGAAACTGGAAAGAGGATGGAGGATTTGAGGGAAGCAGGACCAAAGGCCCCAACCTGCAAATCTAAGAAACCCCAAATATTAGAATTACGGAATCTGAGTCATGGAATCCAAGAATCTTGGAGCAGAAAGAGTCTTTGAGGGTATAGGCAGACCTCCGTC